GGCAATCCTGCTTCAGCAGGGGAGTTGGACTAGATGATCTCTATGGTCCCAACTCTAAAATTCAGTGAAATTGAGTGAAATCTCCCCCCTTCTCTCCCAGACGTACATGCTGCACGACTCCCTGGAGCACGCCCAGCTCTTCGACTTGATGAGGAGGATGTTGGAGTTCGACCCTTCGCGCAGGATCACGTTCTCAGAAGCTCTCCTCCATCCCTTCTTCGCCGGCCTCTCCGCCGAGGAGAGGATGCTGTGCGGCCGGGGGGCCAGCAGGGACCTCAGCAGATGACAGCTGGGATTTTGTCCCCCCCAAAAAAAAAAACCAGGACAGGCTCCAAACTCCCCTCTCTGCTCTCCTCGGAGGGGCTGGGGGGCACTGCCACAAAGGACCCTGGGGAAGGAAACAAAAAACCTACATCCTAAAGCACAGATTTGTCTATTTATATGTTGTAAAGTTAAAATAAAAGTGTTTCTTATTGTTTGATACTTCCCTTGTAGGCAAGGTGGAGGGTTTTCTCTTGCTCCCAGCTTTGCTATTTTTCTACCCCTTCCCTGTGAAGGAAGATGGAAAATTAACTGGAAAAATTAAGGAGGAGGAACCTTGGCTTCAGGAGGGGGAGGGGAGCGAATAAATAGCTGCACGCAATTAGCACACATGAATACTTGCACTTTTATTTCAGGATATTTCCCCCCCCCCTCTGCCTCCCCCAGCAGGAATTAGTTGTTACAAACATCAGGTGACAGATGGGACTGTGGAGCAGTGACACAGTGCAGTGACCTTCACCTCTTAGTGACCGAGGGGTTTTGGGGTAGAATAATAAAAAAGTGTCCTGTTCTTTGAATTAACCCTGGAGATGTGGGGGAAAGGGGGGGGAGGAGGGACCCAGACCCCTTTTTGGGCCTGGGAGGGCTCCACACCCACCCCTAAGATGCATTTTATGTGAGGCCAAGACAAAGCTTCGTATCCGAGGACAAATACCCCCCCAAAAAATCTACTTTTATCTCCAAATTTATCTCCAAATTACTTTATCTGTAAAGTTGAACTGTGCCAAACACGGCCCTGAGCTGCCTGCTGTGTCCTGAACACGCCTGAGGTGGGGGGTTGTACCCTCCTCTACTTGGCTTCTCTGTTTGCTACCTAATAGCCAAGACAAGAAGGAAAATAATTTCTTGACTGTGACGACTATAACAGACATGTAACACCTCAACCATATTGAATTGCATAAGTAGCCAAATAATGAATCCCTATCCAAATAGTCCTAAATATTGCTAAAGATTTGTTTTAAACAGATTCATGTGTATTTCTCCTTTTTTAGCAAAGTCTCTCTAAAAACAGCAGACCATGTCCTGGCAATTTTTTGTTTGAAAGAATGTATGACTTTATGCAAATATTGTTCAAAAACTGCTTGACCAAAATGGCTTGCAAGCAGGTTTAGAATTCACTTCACACATTCTGAAGCTATAACATTCTGACATATTAGTTCAGTTGGGTTCTGAATGGTTCACCAGTCTTCATATTCCAGCGACTCAATGTTTATGGCATGTGCTCAATTGTTTTAAGGCATGACTAAAAAGTGTAAAACTGGTCTATGAAATCACTAGTCCAGAAAAAATTCTCTGCTCTGTTGAATTCAATAAGCAGTATGTATATTCACTTTCTTTGTACTATTTTTTTTTTTTTTAACTTTTTTTTTTTTGCTTAACCATGGGGAACTGTATTGCTTCCTGGAGCTATCCCTGCAAAAAAAACCCAAAAACCAACCACCAAACCCTCATCTTGACCTGGTTGGGTGCCCTTCTGGGCACGTAACATCAGCTCAGAGGCAGGAAAGGACCCCCCTGTGATGAAGCCTCGAGTGTTTCTCCTCCATTACCCCTCTCAGTGCCTACAATCTACAATTTAACAGCCAAAACCAGGAGAGGGGAGGAAAAAAAAGCCCAAACCTGCAAGCCTGGGTGGAGGAAAAGAGGAATGGAAAGAGCAGGTTGTTTTATTGAGTGAGGAGAGGGGGAAAAAAATAAAAAAATAAAAAATAAAGCTAAACACTGCTACAGCAACATCTGCCTTGTGAAGGGTGAGGATTAGATGGAGCTGGAAGAGCTGAAGGAAGGAGAAAGGTGGAGGGAAACCTCACCTTGGTAGAAACCACAAATGCTGTCCCTTCCCAGCACAGCCTAGTGGGACCCACAGCTCCTTAAATGCCATGGTGGGTCAAGCCGGGACATGGCTCACCCAAGGAAGGGGGCAGGGGACCACCGTGGGGCAGTGACACCCACCACAAGTCACCAAGTCAGTGCTAAGGCCACCAGGGGGAAAGCCCTGGGAGCAGCTCGGGGTCTGGACACCGAGGGGCAAAGCCCTCCCCGTCCTCCTGAGGTAGATATGGCAAAGTGCAGGGGAAAAGAGCTCGGGGGGGCACCCGGTGCTCACCACCATCCTGTCACCACCACCCTGTCCTCACCACCACCCTGCCCTCACCGGCCCGGTCACCCCTCGTCACTCCAAGCTTCCAGGCAGCATTAATTACTCATCCCTGGAAGTCTCTTCCCTCCTCCTTTGACACATTCTAAGTGTCTGATCCATAAATCCTCACCACTCCCAGCCCACATGGGACCAGACATTTCCTAAAGCTTCTACCTGCTCCACAGAGAGCGTCTACGAACCCTGGGTGACCACTTCCACATCTCCCCACGCTTCAGCCGCAGGAGGAACCTGGTTCCCCTGGAGAAAAAGCACCCTTCAAAGCTCTCCTGGCTGCCAGAGGGTGGTCTCTGCAAGGTTCTGGTACCTCCAGGAGCTCTGGGGAGGGCTAAGGGAGCAGAAGAGCAGCAGAGCTTCCAGCATGGGGAACCCTCCTGAGAAATCTGCCCGGTTCCTCCAAAGGAAGAGCTCATGGCTCCTCCATCGCTTCAGGTTCAGCGCTTCCCCGGGTCAGCTGCTGGGAAAGCAAAGCAAAAGCCTTCAGAGAGTAGGTAGAGAGCCAGGGTGATGGGTTCCCAAAGCAAAGGAAAGGGAAAGAAAATATGGGACCAGACATTTCCTAAAGCTTCTACCTGCTCCACAGAGAGCGTCTATGAACCCTGGGTGACCACTTCCACATCTCCCCACGCTTCAGCCGCAGGAGGAACCTGGTTCCCCTGGAGAAAAAGCACCCTTCAAAGCTCTCCTGGCTGCCAGAAGGTGGTCTCTGCAAGGTTCTGGTACCTCCAGGAGCTCTGGGGAGGGCTAAGGGAGCAGAAGAGCAGCAGAGCTTCCAGCATGGGGAACCCTCCTGAGAAATCTGCCCGGTTCCTCCAAAGGAAGAGCTCATGGCTCCTCCATCGCTTCAGGTTCAGCGCTTCCCCGGGTCAGCTGCTGGGAAAGCAAAGCAAAAGCCTTCAGAGAGTAGGTAGAGAGCCAGGGTGATGGGTTCCCAAAGCAAAGGAAAGGGAAAGAAAATCCAGGAAAAGGAAAAAGAGAACCCAGGAAAAGGAAAAAGAGAACCCAGGAAAAGGAAAAAGAGAACCCAGGAAAAGGAAAAAGAGAACCCAGCGCTTCCTGGCAGCTCACAGGAAGGGAGCACAGCACAAGAGCAAAGCAGTAATTACAGTTAATTTAGAGAAGAACCACCAGAGGTGCCCCTCCAAGAGGGCACCAGCTGCCCCCACGCCATCTCCTCGCAGGCAACCAGGACCCAAGTCCTTCCTTGAGCTGGTTCCCAGTAGGTGGGGGCTGCAGAGACACAAGCCCACCCTTTATGCAGGTTTCAAGCCCAAAAGGAATGAAGGGATCCCATGACCCTGCTTCCCGACCCGCCCGGAGTGGAGGAGGGATACTGGGAGTACTGGGGGGAACTCACCCATTTACACCAGGCAAGGAACTGGGGGTGCCACTGCCCTGCTCCACCAAGGCTTTTCCCCCTCATTCAACCCCTCGCTGTGCCAGAAAGAAAGAAAGAATAAAAAAAACCCACCCAAATAACTATCCTGGAAAAGTTCTTTTCCAAAACGTGCCTCTCTCTCCTGCAGACCCGTTCAGCCATTAAGGGAACAAACCACAACCTCTAGAATATAGAAGTAAGGCCCAGTTGAGGACATCAGTGGTCCCAGAACGTGTGTGACCCAAGAAGTTCTTGCCCTTGACACAAAGCTTTCCAAAGAGGGAACATTCTCCTCGAGGGGCTGGTGGGTGCAGGGAGGAGAGATGGAGCTACAACTGCCTTCGGGGACATAAAACAGGGGGGGCTCAAAAAAAAGAACAACAGAACAAAATCAAAATCCTCCCTCCCGGTACAACCACACCAGAAGGTATTTCTACACAACCAAGGGGTGCTGAGTCCCTTGCTGGGTCCATCCACCCAGAAGGACTGAGAAATACGCCTCAAATCTCCCAAACCACTCATGGACTTGTACCACAGCTCCACGTACACCCCTCATTTAACAGCCTCCCGGCCGGGCCACCATCACCAGGGGGACAGACACCACCTTCCTGCCTGTTCCTTCACCCAATGGCACAGGAGAATCAAACAGCTTCGCAGGAACATTCGCTTCCTTCTTTTTTTATGGCTGGTTTTTTTGTTTGTTTGATTTTAGGATTTTTTTTTTTTGATTGTGTCTTTTTTTTTTTCTTTTTTCTTCTTTTTTTTTCTTTTTTCTTCTTTTTTTTTCTTGGGTTTTTTTTTTTTTTTTAAATACACAATGGTTCTTCTGGAAGGCAAAAACTCTCCAGAACTTCACATCCTTTAAGGCGTCACGAGTTGACGAGTCGGGATCCGCCCCCCCCCCCCCCCCCCCCCCCCCCTCACCTTTTTTTAATCCTTCTCTTTTCTCTCCCTTCAAGAGCTGGAAGGGGGGGCTCTAAGTAGAGTGCAGGGGGATGACGAATTTGCAGCCGAAGGGCGAGTGGTAGTTTATTCCCACTTCTTGAAAGACCTTCTGGGGAATGCCAATGTCACACAGGTACACCCGCCCGGCCCGCTCGCCCAAGGGCAAGGGCAAGCCCAAGGCCAGCGACCACTTGGCATCGATGCCCTGCTCCAGCTCGTTGATGGGGGGGTCTATGCTGAGGACGGGGGCCCTGTTCTGGTTGGCCCAGTCCACCACGGCTTTGTACCAAGGCTGATCTCTCAAAAAGGCATTTTCGTGACAATCCAGGCAGTTGATCACCAGGTCGACGGGGGTGGCTGGGAGATCTGCAAGAAAAAAAACACAGCGTTGAGCGCTGGAGAGACCACAACCTGAAAGCATGAACCTAGGTGCCTTCCCTCCTGTCTCATTTTTGCCTCCAGTCCCACTGCACAGCCCGGCCTTACCTGGTGTTATTGCCCTCCTGCAGAAGACACCGACATTGAGAAGCTCTGGAGAACATTCACAGACTCTCAGGTCCAAAAAAATCTCATCATAGAATTGCCCAGGCCGGAAGGGACCTCCAAAGGCCATCTAGTCGCACCTCCCCGCAGTCAGCAGGGACACCCCCAACTAGACCAGGTTGCCCAGGGCCTCATCGAGCCTCTCCTTGAATATCTCCAGGGAAGGGGCCTCAACCACCTCCCTGGGCAACCTGTTCCAGTGCTCCACCACCCTCACAGTGAAGAACCCTCTCCTAAAAGTGGCCAGCACTTGGAGCAGCCCCAGATGTTGCTGCCACCAGCCCAGGGAAGCAGCGGTGAGCTCTCTCCATTTACAAAAGGACCATTTTATATTCCACAAGCTGGGAAAAGGCCTATTTTTCTGGGATAAGACAATGACCTCGGCTGTGGTAAGAAAAGCAGCCTGTGTGCTGCACCACTGAGCGCCGTCGGTCTCGCCGCACTCACCTGCTCTGCACAACATCATAGAATCCTTCAGGTTGGAAGAGACCCTTGGGATCATCAAGTCCAACCATCTCCCCTACTCTACAAAGTCCTCCCCTACACCATGTCCCTCAGCACTGCATCTAAACAGCCCTTAAACACAGCCAGGGATGGTGACTCAACCCCCTCCCTGGGCAGCCTGTTCCAATGCCCGACCACTCTTTCAGTGAAAAATTCCTTCCTAATATTCAATCTAAACCTCCCCTGTTGGAGCTTGAAGCCATTCCCTCTCGTTCTGTCACTAATTCCCTGTGAGAAGAGACCAGCCCCAACCTCTCTACAGTGTCCTTTCAAGTAGTTGTAGAGAGTGATGAGGTCTCCCCTCAGCCTCCTCTTCCTCACACTAAACAGCCCCAGCTCCTTCAGCCGCTCTTCATATGATTTGTCTTCTAGGCCCTTCACCAGCTTCGTTGCCCTCCTCTGCACTCGCTCCAGCACCTCCAGATCTCTCTTGGATTGAGGTGCCCAAAACTGGACACAACACTCGAGGTGTGGCCTCCCCAGTGCTGAGTACAGGGGCACAGTCACCTCCCTACTTCTGCTGGTCACACTATTTTTGATACAAGCCAGGATGCCATTGGCTTTCTTGGCCACCTGGGCACACGGCCGGCTCATATTCAGCCCTTTGTCAACTAGAACCCCCAGGTCTCTTTCCTCCAGGCAGCTTTCCAGCCGGTCCATCAGGTGAGAGGAAAGTCAAAGTCCTTGGTGCAAGGACTCCTTGGTTATAACAGACAACCAGCAGGGCCAGCGCAGCCCCCTCACCCCCCCTCAAACCCTGCTGAAGCAGAAAACGTCGTGCAGTGCCCTAATTCCCAGGTTTTGGAGGTGAAATTCAGGGGGTTTGGAAGCGCCGCTGGTGAAATGACAAACGGAAGAGCCAGGCTCTCTCTCAGGAGGTGGAGCATCAGTTTATTCTGGGGCAAACTGAGAGATGTGGCTTTTTGACAGCTGCTGGGACTGGTCCAGCCAAGCCATCTGCTTGGTTTGAAGCAGCAGCTGGATGTTCATTGACTTGCAGCTTCGAGACACTGAACAAGGCAGGCCCTTTATCCCAAAGGGAACAGCTGGTGGGACTCGCATCCATACGGCAGCTCTTCCCCATTTGTTCACCCAGGAAACATCTGGACCAGCACAACAGCTCCCCTGTTCCACCTCTCCAGTCCCATCTCCAGCGGTGGTGCCACTAGATGGTGCCACCAGACTGGGCAGGCACTGGGGAGCCGGAGAGAGGACCCACTCCTCCCTCCTTCCCTCCTTCACTCACCTCTGACGCTGGAGACCTGCTGGCCTTGAGTCTTGCTGAAAAGGTTCAGCTCGTTGGTGATGGATTCCAGCATCTTGACAAAGTTGGGGAGGAAGAGGATGACGTGGACGTCGTGGTTGGAGAGGTGTCGCCCACAGCTGATCCCCTGGGCCCCCTTGACGTGGGGGCCACACAGCAGGGCCACCGTGGGCCGCTGATGCACGTTCTTCGGGTTCAACCTAAAAAATAAGAAAAACACAGACAAGAGGGCTTAATAAACCCCCAAAAAATCTCTTCCCTTCTTCCTGCAAGAGAAAGAAAAAAAAAGAAAATCGTCTGTAAAATGCAAATTTACAGGTGTTTTGCAAATCTTCCGTTGCCTTCAAGAGGGAACCCACATCCTTTTGCAGCGCTGCCACCGCTGCTGCTCCGCTGGCAGGTCCCCTTCCAGACCTCCTCGTACCCAGAGCACAGAACACAAGGTCCCAGTCCACCCCAGTTCATCAAGGAAGCCAACTCCTATTTTCAAAGCAGGTGGCATTTTCCCCTGCTCGTGGAGCAAACTTGAATCCAGCTCAATCTCCTTTTCAGGAAGCTTTTTTTTTTTCTCCCTCTGATTTTAGAATCATAGAATCATAGAATTGTCCAGGCCGGAAGGGACCTCCAAAGGTCATCTAGTCCGACCCCCCCGCAGTCAGCAGGGACACCCCCAACTAGACCAGGTTGCCCAGGGCCTCGTCGAGCCTCTCCTTGAATATCTCCAGGGATGGGGCCTCAACCACCTCCCTGGGCAACCTGTTCCAGTGCTCCACCACCCTCACAGTGAAGAACCCTCTCCTCATCTCCAGTCTAAATCTGTTCCCCTCCAGCTTGAAGCCATTGCCCCTCGTCCTGTCACTGCAGGCCTTTCTAAACAGGCTCTCCCCAGCCTTCCTGTAGGCTCCCTTCAGGTACTGGAAGGCTGCTATTAGGTCTCCCCGGAGCCTCCTCTTCTCCAGGCTGAACAACCCCAGCTCCCTCAGCCTGTCCTCGGAGCAGAGGTGCTCCATCCCCCTGATCATCCTTGTGACCCTTCTCTGGACCCTCTCCATCAGGTTCATGTTCTTCTTATATTGAGGGCTCCAGACCTGCACACAATACTCCAGGTGAGGTCTCACCAGAGCAGAGTAAAGTGGCAGAATCCCCTCTCTGGACCTGCTGGCAACACATCTTTTGATGCAGCCCAGGATGGGATTGGCCTTCTGGGCTGCAGCTGCCCACTGCCTGCTCATGTCCAGCTTAGAAGAAAGCTTAACTATTAAACCTTAAAGATACGGGGTGAGTTACCCCACTGGCAGAGCCACAGTTAAAAAAAAAAATAAAGAAAAAAAATAATTTCTACTCCCCAAGGCTCATCGAAATAAAGTTGATTTATTTTAATGGCCTGCAAGCCACGGAGGGTGGCTTAAAGTAGGATTTTCAGCTGATAAGGGCCTGGATTGTCAGCACTTACTGCTCTCAGTCAAATGATTCGGCCCCACACTGCAGCTAAGTACCACTGCATAAAGGGATAGAGGCTGTTAGGGCTCACAGATCGTTTGGAGTGTCCATCAGCAACATAAATCTACATGTGTAATTGTCTGCCCACATAGAATCATAGAATTGTCTGAGTGGAAGGGACCTTTAAGATCATCGAGTCCAACCATCAACCTAACTCTGATAAAACCCATCCCTAAACCATGTCTCTAAGCACCATGTCAACCCACCTTTGAAATACCTCCAGGGATGGTGCCTCAACCCCTTCCCTGGGCAGCCCATTCCAAGGCTTAATAACCTTTTCCATGGAAAATTTTTCCTAATATTCGTCCTAAACCTCTCCTGGGGCAACTTGAGGCCATTTCCTCTTGTCCTGTCACCTGTTCCCTGGGAGCAGAGACCAACCCCCACCTCTCTACACCCTCCTTTCAGGGAGTTGGAGAGAGCCAGAAGGTCTCCCCTCAGCCTCCTCTTCTCCAGGCTGAACACCCCCAGCTCCCTCAGCTTCTCCTCATAAGACTTATTCTCCAGACCCCTCACCAGCTTTGTCGCCCTTCTCTGGACCCGCTCCAGTCCCTCAATGTCTTTTTTGTGGGAAGGGGCCCAAAACTGGACACAGCCCTCGAGGTGGGGCCTCACCAGTACCCAGTACAGGGGAACGATCACCTCCCACTCTGTTCCTGACACAGGCCAGGATGCTGGTGGCCTTCTTGGCCACCTGGGCACACTGCTGGCTCATGTTCACCCCACAGGCATCATGTTCACCCACATCATCAACCACTACAGCAAGTGCAGGCACAGAGGGGAACGCTTTGAAAAGGTCACGTATAATTCACACAGAAAGCAGTAAGTGCACCCCAAACCTGCTACCAAATTTGGCCTCCTAAAAGAGCAGGATACTCTCAGTTGAGGTGCAGATGCCTGAAAGCTAATTGAGCACGGTGAAAAGCCAAGCAGCACCTTGTTTTCATGAGCTGGCTTTTCGCTTGTCCTGATCCTATTAACCGTAATGCGTCAAAACAACAAAGGGAAGGTTCACTTATTTGGAAAAAAAAAAGGAGTAGCTGGCCAGAAATTCTGCAATGGTGTCATCTGCCTTGGGTTACGCCCAGTAATTCAGTGCCACGCTGAATTCCCCAACAAAAAAATCCCCATAAGCAGAGAGAAAAAAAATAAAAAATAAATCTCTCAGCTCTGTTTTGCCTTTGACTCAAGAGACACTTCTGCTTTTGGGACAGAGGAGTCCAAAAGGAGCCCTTACTAAAGTTGTTCAACCAAGATGGTATTTTTAGGCAGCCCTTTTCTAGAGAGGGGAGGGGAAATAAAAAAAGCAGCAGGAACGTGGAAGGGTACTGTAAAGCTTCCTCCCACGTGAGAAGCCTGAGTCTCACACTTGTTTTTATGATTATTTGGAAACAGGCTGATACAGGAGCTAAAACACAGGTCTGCATGGCACTGAGATGAGGATTTTTTTCAATTTTAGAGGCAAGAAAGGGAGAAAAGTGACAACTATCCCCAGCTGCAGGACCACGGAGGGACTGGCGCAAGCATCTACATCAAAGTAACCTCTCAGCCTCCTTTATCTCAACCCCACTTGGCAGAACAAGAGAAGTTAAGCTATGAGAGAAGACAAACCCACAGGGGGATGGAAAAGGAGCAGCTTTACCTGTTGGGTCCCCCGAGGAGGCTGAGGGCCATCTGGCTGGCGCAGACTCCTGTCATCTCCAGCCTCCTCTCCAGAGTCAGCCCGTGCTTCTCCGCAACCGAGAGCAGCTTCTTGTGCAGTTCGTACGACACGCTCGGAACCACCAACCCGGAGTCTAGGGTTCAAAGAGAGCAGAGAGAGGAAGACTTTAGTAGGTATAAGCAGAGACTTTTCCAAAATGCTGCAGTCTGGTAAGGTTTTATACACCAGCACTTAGAAACGATGACAATGGAACAGTTCATTAGCTGTTACCAAGGGCCTGCTTAACCCAATAATCCAAGTTCCTTCCCAAGACCATCAAATGAATCCAAACTAGTGCCTCAGAGTCAGCTTTCTGTGTTTGAGTGAAGTAGTGACAGCTAAACACAACTGCTGGCCTTGAAATAATACACATTTCCACGAAAATCCACCAGGCAATTGGCAACTATGGGAACACGTGGAGTTTTTTGACTTACAGATTGAATATTAAATGCTTTCTCAGTGGCCTCCAGGCGTGTGAGGGTGGTGAGAGCCTGGCCCAGGTTGGCCAGAGAAGCTGTGGCTGCCCCATCCCTGGAGGGGTTCAAGGCCAGGTTGGAGGACCTCTAGCTCTGGGGCCACCAACAGCAGAAGGACATGGTGGGTCCCAGAGGAGGCCACAGAGATGCTGGGAGGGCTGGAGCCCCTCTGCTGGGAGGACAGGCTGAGAGAGTTGGGGGGGTTCAGCCTGGAGAAGAGAAGGTTCCAGGGAGACCTTGGAGCCCCTTCCAGTCCCTCGAGGGGCTCCAGGAGAGATGGGGAGGGACTCTGGATCAGGGAGGGGAGCCATAGGAGGAGGGGGAAGGGTTTGACACTGAAAGAGGGGGGATGGAGCTGAGATGTGGTGTGAGGGTGGTGAGAGCCTGGCCCAGGTTGCCCAAAGAAGCTGTGGCTGCCCCATCCCTGGAGGGGTTCAAGGCCAGGTTGGAGGGGACTTGGAACAACCTGGTGTGGTGGGAGGTGTCCCTGCCCAGAGCCATAGGTCACCAAATATCAGGCCAACGTGCAAACTAGGTCCTTCCTCAGAACTGGGGGGGATGGCAGCCACTTGGGGGCCGATGGCAGCTCAGCACCGAGGGGCACAGCAGGGCTCAGACCACCTGAGCTGATGAGGAAGAGCTGGAGGAAGGTGATGTGGCCCAGTGAAAACGTGCTGCAGCGACACGAGCTCAAAGGGGAACAGCCACAGCGTTCACATCCGCTCGGAGAGGAAACCTGACAGTTACCGGGGCTCTTTTGCAGCCCCAAAAAAAAAACCAACAAACCAAAACCCCAAAAACATAACGAGAACCAGTCGTAACAAGCAAGTGCAATATTCAAATGAGACAAGAAGCGTGCGTTTTAATTGTGAAGGAATTATTTGCACTGCCATCATTTCCCCAGGGCGCCCCAGTCGCAAACCGCTAAGTCAAAGTAGGGCGGAAACGGGGGGTTTTGTACATCTGGAGGTTTTTTGGGGAGACATTCCTGCAAAGGCAGCAGGGCAACGGAGGGGGAGCAGATTCCCCTTCCAGCCTTCATTTGGGAACTCAGCAGCTCGTGTTTTGCAGCCACGGAAGGGCCCAAACGTGTTCCAACACTTGACCTCGCATGCTAAGCGGCGATTAAGCTCCCTCCGCTAATAGCCGCTCATTACAGGCAGCGCATATGCAAGGCTGCACATTAGCCAAGGCTGCACATTATCCACAAGGCATTTCAGCCTCCTGATAGCAGCCACCAAGCCTTCCGAGTCATAAACCACTCCTAATCCTAAGCCCATCCCACCAGTCACGCACCTGCCCGTTGCTGACAACCCTCCTCAGCCTCCGGAGTCACGCAACGCTGGGCTCTCGCCTTCTTTCCCCATTCATATATTCTTTTTTTTTATTTTTTTTTTTGCTGTTACCTCATCGGCTCGGCGTTTTGCAAGCTCGAGGAAGGATGTGGAATGAGTGACCCGAGGTCAGGATCTCTCCCCAAAGAGTCTGATGGGACGTGTCCTCCTTTAACCCACCAAAAAAGGGGGTTCTCAAAACATCCCTTTTGCTCCTTCTGAACTGCAGGAGTCACAAATTCCCTGCTTAAATTTTTCTAGAATCACAGAATGGGTTGGAAGGGACTTTAAAGATTATGGAGTTCCAACCCCCACCTGCCCTGGGCAGGGACACCTCCCACCACACCAGGTTGCTCCAAGCCCCCTCCAACCTGGCCTTGAACCCCTCCAGGGATGAGGGAATTTTGGACAAACTCCTGAGGGAATTTTGGACAAACTCCTGAGGGAATTTTGGACAAACTCTCCATATTAGGCAGGTGAAAGAGCTGATCCATACCCACCCCACTTAGCACCAGCATCACCAACATCCTCCCTGTAAACCTTTATCCCCTCCACCACTTCCCCCAGCCCAGGAGCTTTATAAAACCACCCTGCCCAGCAGCTAAACGCAACCCAGTGCCCAGTGGGTTAACGCCAAACTGGGAGGAGGGGGGGGGGGTTTACTGGGAGGCATGAGATGAACTTGAGTTGTAGCACGCCAGGGCTACACTTTGTCCTAATTGCTCCCCTCTGGAGAGCGGGGCTGAGATTGCCAAGAGAACTTCCCCTTTCCTCGCCCTCACGCAAGGTCCGACCAGTCAGACTGGCTTTATCAGAACCAGGCCGAGGGAGTGAAAATAAACTCCATCAAAAACTCTGGCAGAGAAGCAATCATCAAGGAGGCGACGTGTAAAACCCCGCAAACAATCACCCTCCTGCAACAAACCTGAACCCCTGCCAACCTTAATTATGTTTGGGTTGGACAGCGCGCCTTTATTGTTCGGTAATGAAGGCAATAAAATAAATTAGCCCAGGCCTTTTAATATTAAATAAATGTATTTTACAGCTGCCTGGGAAGAATAAATAAATAATAATAAAAAAAAACACAAACAAAAAGGCAGATAGAGACTAAACAGTTTTGTGACACGCAGAGTATTGCTGAAGCCTGATTGAACACGAAGTATTCTCCGTTTATGAGGCACACACTGTCTTGGAGACTACGACTACCAACAAATTATCTCCTCCAGCTCCACTATGCAATGTCAGGCTGGATTAAAACACCCTATGGCAGCAGAAAAAGTGAGCTAACTCTACAGAAGTTAACAAAATAAATTGGTTTTTCCCCCCCCCAGACAAGCCCAGAGCAACGCTGCTGTCAGTCCAAACACCTCCCATGCAGGAAACCAAGATAAAATCAGAGAGGGTTGCTGCTAGAATAGCTGAGTGGGTAAGGCCAATATTTTCTCCTCACTATTTCAGCAGCTCTCTAGCTGCCAAAATAAAGAAATACAGGCAAAGTGCAGGACCGGACGAGATGGAACTAGACACAAAATCTCCTGAAAGCTGGACGTAAAGCCATCATTTTTTGCCTTTAGCAACAAATAAGTCCAGTTTCCAGAGCTGCACAGCTCATGGTTTAGGACACAGACTCAGCAAAAACAACTACTTGACCCACAAACTTTCTCCCCAACCTTAAGGGCTAGATTATTTTTTTTTAAAAAATCATCATTATTATTAATTAAGAGAAAATTGTGCGGGAGTTCTGGCCGACGTTGCGGTGCCAGCCTCTCCCTGCATTAGAGCACAATTCCCTCTGGCTGAGCAAAAAAAAGACAAAAACCCGTGGGAGGGACAAAGAGTTTGCCCCATGAAGCACTTTTGTTTTCCCTCCTACGGTTGGAGAAAGTGAACTTCGTTTGCACCCGAGTCCAAGATCCCCGAAACAACTTTCTCCCCAACCTTAAGGGCTAGATTATTTTTTTTTAAAAAATCATCATTATTATTAATTAAGAGAAAATTGTGCGGGAGTTCTGGCCGACGTTGCGGTGCCAGCCTCTCCCTGCATTAGAGCACAATTCCCTCTGGCTGAGCAAAAAAAAGACAAAAACCCGTGGGAGGGACAAAGAGTTTGCCCCATGAAGCACTTTTGTTTTCCCTCCTACGGTTGGAGAAAGTGAACTTCGTTTGCACCCGAGTCCAAGATCCCCGAAACACTTCACACATTCAATATACACAATTGCTGAAGAGCTAAAAGCCAGCAAAAAGAACAGTCAGTCAAGGACATGGGACACACACACACACAGACACAAAATCAAAGCCACATCCTTGCAGAAAAGGCTCAGCCGTGGTGTTGGAGCCCGACCCTGGCACATAAGCTCTGCCTCCTGCATTCATTTACTTCTAAACACCTCTTTTTTTTCACTGTCTCCTTACCGTAGAAGGGAATAAAAAAGGTTTCTTGAAGGCCAGGCTTGAAGACAGAGAAATATTGATGTTTGTCAAGTGAAAGCAGGACTGTGCTCAAAAAAAAAAAAATTTAAAAAATCTGACTGTCTCAAATTTCTATAGTGGCCAAGTTTGAAAAAATCTCACTTTTTATTCCAGAAGATGGAAACAGGGAATTTTCTACGCTAACAGCATTAATGAGAAGAGAACCTGCTTGGGACAAAGCCTTGCTAGTCCATCGAGGAAAGAAATCCACACCTTACAGAATCACAGAATCTTCTAGGTTGGAAGGGACCTTCAAGATCATCTTGTCCAACCGTCAACCTGACTGACAAAAATAGACACCCACACAACAAACAAGGAGCATCATCACTAAACCAGACCTCCCAGCACTACATCAACCCGTCTTTTGAACACCTCCAGGGATGGGGCCTCAACCCCCTCCCTGGGCAGCCCATTCCAATGCCTGAGAACCCTTTCAGGGAAAAAATTTTTCCTAATATCCAGCCTGAACCTCCCCTGGTGCAACTTGAGGCCATTTCCTCTTGTCCTGTCGCCTGTGACTTGAGAAAAGAGACCGACCCCCATCTCTCTACACCCTCCTTTCAGGTAGTTCCTCTTTACTCAGTGTGCTCAGAAAGACACTTTCTTGGCAGAAATAAAGTTAAGAGGAAAGGGGGAATGAACTGCAAAAAAGAGAACACTTTGGGAGAGTCTGTTATGCTGGAGATGACATTATCCAGAGTCACTGCTGGTGAACGGAGATGCTCCATCCCACCACAAACCCCTCCGAGCTCCAACATACCCACAGAACGTTGGCTTTGCAGCTGCCACTAAAAGACCTGAGCCCAAAATAACAG